AATATCAAAAATCCAATTAGCTATTCAAGTAGACTCCAGAATTTTTTCTGTTTGGCCATTCTTACTGAATATTTCAAGATTTATTGAGTCAAAATTTTATATGATTTAAACTGAGACTACAGAGTTTCAGGATGAGTTTTAGAGAAACTAATTCCAGGTATATTCTTACTGATCCTATTATATCTTTCTATGAGAGATATAGGACAAATACTTCTCTTCTGACTTCAAAAAAATGAAGAAATGGGGACTATGTCAATAGCCCACTTTTCTCTGGAGCAATGAAAATGTTCTAAATCTTGGCTGTTCAATATGGTAGCCCTAGCCACATGTGACTGTCGAACACTTGAAATGTGATTAGTGCACTGAGAGCCTGAATTTTAAATTTAATTTGATTTAATTGATTTAAGGTTACATAGTCACATGTGGCTAATGGTTAGTGTATATCACAGCACAGCTTTCTATGCTCAAAGTGATGGATAAATGGGCTTCCGGATTTGTAAAAGAAGAGAGTCAGGAAGGGACTGTTAGGCACAGTGGCTCATGCCCGTAATTCCAGCACGTTGGGAGGCTGAGGTGGAAGGATTATTTGAGACCAGGAGTTTGAGACCAGCCTGAACGACATAGTGAGACTCCATCGCGACAAGAAAAACAACAAAAAAAGAGTGATTGTTAATTCTGGTCCTCTCCTCCTTTCTCATTTAGGTGAGGGGACAATTCACAAGCAGACACTTGTTTCTAATAGGATGTCCTGACTATGGTGAGACATTCCATGCCCTAAAACTACACATCACCTCATCAGAAACACTGAAAGACAGACTTCCACAAAAATAATTTGCTAAGCTTGTTTAAACAGACATGCTGGGTTTCTTCTCTCTCATAAGACTCAGATATAGAAATGTTTAAAGGGTTCTGAATCATACCAATAATATGAGCACGTATTATGGCTGAGTGTTTGTGGAAATATTGCACATCCACCCAACTCATCACCTGTTAAGTCACATCTTTGTTTTATTTTCAAAAATGAAATGATTCATAGTCATTTCATTCATGGGACTTGGTGCCAGTTTATTTCTGGGAGTTTAATTGCCAGCTTCTGGAATTGAGACACAAATGTCTTAATATAAACAGGCTATAGGCAGGAGCTTTCAATCTTGTTTCCCCTTGGAAAAGCACCAGTAATTTCATATTTGGTCTAATAAATCAGTTTCCGGAAGAATATTTGCTGACGTCATTTTTTATATCCCTCATGGATTCGATATGGAAAAATACCCTGGTCATGTTCAAAGCAATAGATTAGTTCTGGTAGTGTCTTTCAGCCTGTGGGAGCCCTCATTCCTCTGCAGTCATGGTTTGGAAGTGGTTGTATATCCTAGTACAAGAGAAATGCTTTTGTGAAAGGCAGATTTGGAGGTATGTTGGACAGAGAAGCTGGAAACTGATCTCCTTAAAACATTGATTTCATCATGTCTGTGTTTAAGTTGTGGCTGCAGTTTGCTATTTTCGGAGACAAGGCCAATGTCAGCCTGTATTCAAAGCTCTCTATAGTCAAGCAAGTCACACTTACTAGGTGAACCACACTGCAAAGGCCCTTCTACCTCCTCACATTTAAAATTTTATCTATTGAATTTTGATCAAGATTAACATTAAAGGAAGCTTTCAAAGCCAAAAGAGATGAGAAGATTCCACCAAAAAAAAAAAAAAAAAAAAAAGCAACATGCAGCATAAACATACCCAAAAAGAAGAGAGGTTTTCTGTCTGGAGCCCACACTGCTGTGATTGTATGTTTAGGAGGACAGGGTGATTTTCATTCATCCTGTAGCTGTTTTCCATGCTCCAATTCTAGTAATTCATGATACACCTATTACGCACCTACTGTGTGCAAAGAACTGGGCTCAGTGGTACAAGAGAATCTGTTTTCAGCCTCATTGGCTATTTTAAGCCATGCATTTTAAATGAATCTGTATTTCAAACAATTTCAAACACAGGAAGATTGAGAGACTAATACAATGATACTCTATATAGTCATCACCTAGCTTTAACAGTTAGCAAGCATTCGTCATGTTTGTATCACTTATTCTTTTCTGTTGTAGTTATTGTTGCTAAATATTTTTAAGCAAATCCCACATTTGATGTCACTTCTCAACACATTTGTACATATCTCTAAATAATATTAGCATTTTTTTCCCCATAACTACAGTACCATGGTCACACCCAAGAAAATTGAGAAGATTTCCTTGTAGCCTCCAATAACCAGCCAATATTCAAATTTTCCTACTTACTAAAAAAATGCCTTTTTAAAAATTAGTTTGTTCAAATCAGGAGCTAAACAAGGCCCAACATCACATTACATTAGCATAACCGTTACCATAACTGTAAACATTACATTAATCAAATCCAAACAAATTTTCTTTGATATATATAATGTACTTTTATATAAAAATATTTTTATTGTATTTATAGAATAAACACACACAAACACACATATATTTGACATGTTGAAGAAATTCGGTCAGTTGTCCTGCAGTCCCTGCACTCCAAAATTCTAAATTTTTCTGTTTACTTCTTTGTGGTATTATTTATCTTAATCCTTTATCCCTCCATTTTCTTTTCTTACTTTTTTTTTCTTTTTTGAGACAGAGTCTCGCTCTATTGCCCAGACTGGAATGCAATAGAGCGATCTCACCTCACTGCAGCCTCCGCCTCCCAGGCTCAAGTGTTTCTGTCTCAGCCTCCCAAGTATGTAGAATTACAGGCATGAGCCACCATGCCCAGCTAATTTTTGTATTTTTAGTAGAGACAGGGTTTCACCATGTTGGCTAGGCTGCTCTTGAACTCCTGGCCCAAGTGATCTGCCTGCCTTGGCCTCCCAAAGTTCTGGGATTATAGACATGAGTCACTACTCCTGGACCCTCCATTTTCAATAAACTTGAAAGTTTATGTTCAATTTTTCTTTTGGCAAGCATGCAGTACTTCAAAAGTGGTGCTATGTGCTGCACATTGTACCACATCAGGAGGCACACAATGTTGATCATACCACTCTCTAAGCATCCTCCATCTTCCCCTACAAAGTTAAAGAGAACCTTGGGGAAATCATTTAACCTTGCAGAGCCTCAGCTTTCTCATAGAGACAATGGGGATAATAGTAGTACACCCTTGCAAATTTGGTGTAAAGATTACACTATGTAATCTTTGTAAAGATGTTAACTTATTATGAATAAGGCATGCAAAGTACTTAGTACAGTATACTGGTCTAGGAGACTCTTAATAATATTAGCTATTATTGCCTTTATAAATTACTTTGGCTAAACAGGCCAGGTAACTTTCATTGAGTAGACAGTATTTGAAGGATAAAATGAAAAGGCATAGACCCCAACACACTAAGGCTCAGAGAAATCTCTCTGATAAATTTCTTTTTGGGACTAGATTATAAACTTCAAGATAGCAGGAATTTATTAATTCCTTATCCACAGTATGTAGTTCGGTGCATAGCCCTCAATAATAGATGAGTAAAAAATCCTACACAAACTCAACTTTAGACTGGTTGGTGTCTTATTGTGAAGTCCCTTGCCCCCATCCCTATGATACCCACATAACATCCCCTTATTCCCAGCTCTGGACACTTGCCTCTGCCATTTCCGCTGCTTAGAAGACCTAGGCCCGGCCACTCACGGTGGCTCATGCCTGTTGTCCCAGAACTTTGGGAGGCCGAGGTGGGCCGATCACCTGATGTCAGGAGTTCAAGAGCAGCCTGACCAACATGGTGAAACCCCGTCTCTACTAAAAATACAAAAATTAGCTGGGCGTAGTGGCAGGCGCCTATAATCCCAGCTACTTGGGAGGCTGAGGCAGGAGAATCGCTTGAACCCAGGAGGCAGAGGTTGCAGTGAGCCAAGATCACGCAATTGCACTCCAGTCTGGGGCACAAGAGAGAGACTTTGTCTCAAAAAAACAAAAACAAAAACAACAACAAAAAAACAACCTAGGCCTAGGTCCTCTGCTTCTACCAATGTAAGTTGGACCAGTCCTTCCATGTCTTTCTCTTACCTGTAACCTTTGGGAGGACTTTTCTGAGACTGTTCCACCCTATATCCCACTTTTTCTTTTCTCAATACCTACATCATACTCTTTGTCCACAAAATTTGATGCTTATACTTTACAGATTTGTAGGTTATCTTGCTTTCTAATAACTCCCTACACTTCCATCTTATTTCCTCTAAGTAAATTGTAAACTCTTTAATGGGTAATGTGTTAGTCAGTTTTTGCTTTGTTACAAAGAAATATCTGAAGCTGTGTACTTTATGAAGGAAAGAGGTTGAATTGGCTCATGGTTCTGCAGACTGTACATGAAGCATGGTGCCGGTTTCTGCTTTTGGAAAGGGCTTCAGGAAGCTTACAGTCATGATGGAGGGGAAGGGGAGCCAACATGTCACCTGGTGAGAGGGAGTAAGAGAGAGGGGGAGGTACCACACCCTTTTAAGTAACCAGATCTTGTGTAAACTAACAGAGTGAGAACTCACTCATCACCAAGGGGATGGCACTAAGCCATTCATGAAGGATCCACTCCCCTCATCCAATACCTTTCACTAGGCTCTATCTCTAACATGGGATTACATTTCAACATGAGATTTAAAGGAGACAAACATCCCAACCATATCAGCTGAGTTGGTGTTTTCTGCCTTTCCAACTTCTATCTCCTCTTACCCAATACCCATTCCCAACCCAAACACCTGGCACAGGAGTAGACACAGTAGAACTTCATATAAGTACTACCTGCTAATTTAGCATCTCTTGTTACACCTTTTTCAATGTACTTGGTAACTGAAGGACATGGTCATCAATACACTGCCTGGATGAGCGTGGCATATCCCTACTACCACTGCATTATGATTGTCTGCTTATGTGCCTGTGTCCCTATCAAACTGATAGAGTCCTGGAAACAGAGATTATGGATTTTCACCTCTGTTGCCCTAGGAACTTGTACAGGGGTTGGCACATAACAGATAATCAATCAGTGATGAATTTAAGAAATGGTGGGTCAACGAATTTGATGAAATTCACTTTTGCCTGAAAAAAAATTTGACTATTTAGACTAGTTCAGTCAACAAATTAAGATGTTTGAACCATTTACACATATGGGCCCAGTCCTCATGAGAATATGAAACGTGTTTGTAGGAGTCAGATAAAATTAGAACTAAAATTGAAATGGAAGAAAAATATTAAAGAAAACCATTGACTACTAATGGCTTTATTGTTCTACTCAGGAGCATTATGGAGCTTTCAAGGTTTTAAACCTAAAGAAAAACTCTTAACAGTAAAATTTCTATCAGGAGAGAGAGCTAGTTTGAGGTCTCTTGGTACTGCTTAATTCACACTCAAGAAATAACTCTCTTCTGTCTTCTGGAAGCTACACTATTGTTCCTCCTTCCCCACCCAACAACCAAAAAACAAAGCAGCTTCGAGTCCTGGAAAGTACAGAAGAAAAATCTTCTCTGCTCATGTTGTAGGTGTGTTTCTTCCACTACTTGCGGTGGAATTCATCAACCAGGTTTCCAGGCTGTGTTCCACACATCTTCTTCTGAATCCTCAGCCCAGGCAGAAATCAGACACTTCCATGTTGTCCTTTAAGAGAAGAGTTGGTAGGCTGGGCGCGGTGGCTCAAGCCTGTAATCCCAGCACTTTGGGAGGCCGAGATGGGTGGATCACGAGGTCAGGAGATCAAGACCATGCTGGCTAACACGGTGAAACCCCGTCTCTACTAAAAAATACAAAAAATTAGCTGGGCGAGGTGGTGGGCACCTGGAGTCCCAGCTACTCAGGAGGCTGAGGCAGGAGAATGGCATGAACCCGGGAGGCGGAGTTTGCAGTGAGCTGAGATCCGGCCACTGCACTCCAGCCTGGGCGACAGAGCGAGACTCTGTCTCAAAAACAAACAAACAAACAAACAAACAAACAAAAAGAGAAGAGCTGGCATTTCAGTGTTTTAAACACTGGCATATTCTGGTTCAATGGCCCAGCTAGATGTAAGGAAAGTGTGTTACCCAATTTTTTTCATCCTTTGAACCAAAAAGATGCTCTTCCTTATGTTTTACTCCACCTGATCATTGCCTGGCTTGAAGGAAAAAAGAGAACACTTTTCAAGAGCTGAGAAAATTGGCATTGATTTAACATAATTTAGTTAAAAGTTAGTTCTCCCCTGCTGTGAGCCACAGCTGATTATTTAGAGAATTATTACCATTCAGTGTTCATTGAGTTTTATCTTTCTAAATTTTCACTGATTAGCATGATTTGTTACTAGGAAAAATATTATGATTTTAATTGCATTTTGGCATCTTAAAAGAATGTTTCACACTACTTAACATCTGCAGTCAACAGATGTTTAAACACAACTCCCTCAATGACTAAAATTTGGCAAAATGTATAATAGTTGGAACAGCTTAAAATTCTAAATATACTTCTAGGAACATGATACAGGCAGATGAAGTACTACTTGTATGTGTTTTATATTAAATATTAAAATATTACATATACCATCCGTCTCGGAGATGACAGGTTTCAGGGAAAAAATCAACAACAACCAAGAGATGTTTCAACCCTACCATACCAGAGATATTCTATCTATAAGCAGGGCTATGTCTTATGGTCACTGTCAACTGCAGTGGAGACCCTTTTTTAAGTGCTATTTATTGTGGTTAACTCTAGAGGCTGGCAGAGGCAAAACTGTGAGACAGATACTTTTGTCCCTTTTGCTTCCCCTTTTGGCATCCTTCTTTTCTCTGACTCAGATCCTCAGGAGCCTCCATGAAGGTATATTCTAAGATTAATACGTCAGACTTGAGTTTAAGTTCATTGGTCAGCCTTCAGTTAACTGGGACAAAGATTCATTCATATCTGTGTGTGTGTGTGTGTGTGTGTGTGTGTGTGTGTCTGTGTGTGTGCGCGCGCGTGCGTGCACGCTTGCGTGTGTGTGGTGTCTGTCTGCTGTCTGTTTCTCAAGGCAGGGGGGGAGAGAGGAGAGAGGATGACCCAATTAGCATTTCCTCAACTATTTGACCAGCCATTGGTCAAATTAGCATTTGACCAACCATTTAAGCCGTTAGGTTTAGCATGGCTTAAAGAAATCCAGAGAAAAATCATGAATTTCATTTCAATCACAACTTTTAACAATCTACTCCTATGGGCACTTTATGACAGTTGATAACTCAGGGCTTAGCAGAGAATTGCTTCCTGTCCCCTTGTTGAACTCACCCCCAGTGAAAATGCCATTTCTACATCAAGAATCCTAGAGGCTGTAGCAGAAAGAATGAGAAATCCACATTTTCTATCCCTGGATGGTTAAGTTCACAGTCACAGGAACTGTGCAGATATAAAGACTTCCAATCAATATGTCTCTGCCTAAGCTTATCCCGTTATTCTGTTCTCTGTTACTGATTTAAGTCAGTAAATTTTGAGTACAGCCAATTACTTTATATATTGTGGGTGGGCCTAGTCCAATCAAGTGAAGGCCTTAGAAGCAAAGACTAAGATTTCCTGAAGAAAAAAGAAATTGGTCTCAAAACTGCAGCATAGAAACCCTACTAGAATTTCCAGCCTGGCCTGACCTGCAGATTGGGGACTCAACACTGACTGAAACATCAACTCATCTGAATTTTCAGACCGCCAGCTTTCCCTACAGATTTTGGACTGGCTGGCCCCCAAAACTGAATAAGCCAATTCCCTAAAATCTCCTCTCTGTCTCCTCTCCCTCTTGACTAGTCCACATGTGTATATGTAACATCTGGATTCAGAGAAGGTGACTGTACCCAGGAGGAAGTCGAATCATGGAGAGATAAATAGGACTAGGCTATGAGAAGTGCAGTGCAGGTGGTCCATCAGGAAGAGGAAGCAGCTTGTACAAAGACGAAGGAGATGGGGTCTCTGCCTTTGAGGGGGAGAATGGAGGGAGAGAGCCTGAGAGTTGGGAGACTGTGTGTTAGAGAGCAGTGGGTACTAAGACTGGATGGATTGGTAGGACCCAAGAACTGATGTGTAGAAAAGAACCTCTTCTTTTTTTTCCATGCAGGGGGCTTAGAATTATTGCATTTTTTAAAACACTGAGTCATCTTTTCTATAGTATTCTACAACAGAGTCCACTTCAGACTATGCGGCTGCCCCCAGCTGTCACCATATCTTCTGTCTTTCATATCCATCCCCAAAGGCATTTACTCTTCCTAAAAGGATCGCCCTCCAAAGAAATTTTAAAAGAATCTTATCAAGGAGTCCTGGAGAAGAAAGGGATGTGAGGGTCAAGTCGCAACTTTGAGAGGAAATAGAAAGAGGGCCCCTTTCTGAGAAAGGAGAATTTCAAAGAGTCTAAGAGAACCAAAAATTCAGGACCCAGGAAGGTAAGCATTCCTGTTTATGCAAGCATCACAGACCATTTGAATGAGTGGGTTTTTCAGGTGATATTTAAATGAATAAACAATATCCATGTCTCAGGGTCAGAAATGGTACTTTTGCAACTGAATCTGTCCCTCTTGAGAGGCTTCCACAAGACTGAGAGGGTGGGATGACTTAATGAACATTAAAAACAATGTTATTAGGCCGGGTATGGTGGTACATGCCTATAATTCTAGCACTTTGGGAGGCTGAGGTAGGCAGGCCCAGGAGTTTGAGACCAGTCTGGGCAACATGGCGAGACCCTGTCTCTAATAAAAATACAAAAATTTAGCCAGGCATGGTGGCACACACCTGGAGTCCCAGCTACTCGGGAGGCTGAGGTGGGAAGATCACCTGAGCTCAGGAAGTCAAGGCTGCAGTGAGCCAAGATTGCACTACTGCACTCTAGCCTGCATGGGCAGGAGTGAGACCCTGTTTGAAACACAAAAAACAATCAAACAAAAAAATCCCACACAATGTTATTTTTAAAATACTGAGGGGAGAGGAGGTGGAAAAAAAGGGGAAAACCTAAAACTCTCCATATTCCTACCATCAGAAAATTACATTAATGTGATAAGCGACTTTCTCCCCTCTGAATCTCCAATTCCATTACTTGTAGTAAATATGAATCTTATTCCACAAACTCAGATGTGTAAAAAAAAAAAAAATAGCACTTTACTTTTTACATAAAATTAATCCTAAGCCTATAGCAACTCTCTTTATCCTATTAGGTAATTAGGAATTTGGTCTCAGATATTATTGTCACCCTCAGGGATGGGCAAGGGTCTCAGGGTTTTGTGTAGCACCAAACCCTAATAAGGTCTCTTCAGCCATTGAACTTACTCTACAGTATTAACTGCTGAGGTGTCCATGGTCTCAGACTACAAGGTCTCTTCTGGTTCTGGCTCCTCTGCTGCTGCTTTTAAAACCAGGAGAATCTTTGGTGAGACTTTGGAATTCCCAGATCCCTAGCCAGCCTCCCTAGGGTCTTCCTCCTCATCAGAGTGCTCCAGAACTCAGACTAAGATTCCATTTACACTCCAAACACCTTCCCTTCTCTCTCCAGTTCCTCCAGGACACCAAGCATAATCTCCTCAATGGGTTTAGGTTTTACAAAATTCGGGACCAGAATCGGAAGTGTCTTGCAGACAACTTTGGCTTCTGGTCCTATGACAAACATCTCCCTTGTGGCAAGAGGCCACAAAAAAGCCCTGACCATCTGCTTACAAGGGAGGAGGGGAACAAACACTGGGAGGACAAATACAAGTTAATATTCCAAAAATTATACCACCACAAACTGTTGACCGTTTGCTAAGTCTCTTTCCCGAATGTTCTTGTGCTTATAAAGCAAAAATCTCTACACATAAGCTTTTCTTTTTTAAGCAAAAAGGGGATTGTACTATATATATGTAGTTACAGCTTGCTTTTTTTTTTTTCCACTTAGTATAGTGTGGGTATCTTCCTAGAGTGTCCTTGTTTTATTTGTAACATTGGTTACTGCTCCACTGATGGGTACTCAGGTGGTTTCCATTGTTTTGCTCTTTCACACAATGCTGTATTGTGCACATACATGTACATCTCTGTGTTATTTTTCTATCATCACTTTCTAGAAGTGAACTGACTAGGTTGACCAAGTGGCTAGTGAATCAATACTCAGGTTTATTTGCAAACAGGAGCATAGTTCTCTGTTTCTCTGCACTGCGGGCCCCGGCCAACTCTGGTGGGTTGGTTAGCACATGCTGGTTTTAGAGAAAGAGCCTTAAAATGCATTTCTCAAGATCTTAGTCTTCATGCATTTGAAAAAGTTGGTGGAGTTGGTGCAAAGATTATTCTAAACATCTTTCTAGTTTGCCTCAGTGAATAGGACTCTCACTATTAGTGTATAGGAAACAATAATCCGGGCTTTACAACTAACCAGCTAAGAGACCCTGGACAAACCATGTCCCACTTGAGGTCTCAGGTAGATCATGTAAAATGGAGATGGGACAGACAGACGATCTCCTAAAGACTTCCTGAAGTGATATCATACATATTATCATATGTCCTCTGCATTCATAAACATACAATGTCCTGGGCAGGTAACAAGTGTCTGTCTGTGGATTGATGACAGACTTTGGGCTATATTGACTTTGCTATGCCTCTTCAATTTCCTACTTTATATTTTTGGAACAGTATAATATATTTGTATTAGCTTGTGTTCCTCCAAAAGCTGACCCAAGGACAAGGGTTCAGGTTTAAGAGGTTTATATTTGGAAAGTGCAGGAAAGACCAGTAAGGGAGGTGGCTGATATAAGGTATGTTATCAAGCCAACTGTCACTGGGCTTAATCCCGAAGGGCAATGCTGAGAAATAGCATAAAACCCATGCTTCGGAGTTATCTACCTTTAGATCAAGGGTGCTGGGGTGTTTATACATGAAATTCCATCAGCACACCCTAATGTGCTAATGTGCTAATTATCAGCACATCTAGCCTGCCATGCAAAGGCTGAGCAGCCTGCCTTGGTTTAGGGAAAAGCCTTCAGGTCAAGAGTGCAAAAAGAGTTTTCTGGAACACAGCTAAGGGATGTGGGCATGGCCACAGTGTCTACTGTGTAACTCTCACAGTTCCCCTCACACCAGCCTTGCTTTACTCTTCTGTGTCTTTGCTCATGTTGTCTTCCCTCCTTTCCCTTTCTGATCAATTTCAAATCCTCAGACTTCCTAGTTTGTGTCCTGCCTCTGCTACTTCCTAGCTGAGTGACTTTAGGCATGTTACTTAAGTGCTCTGTGCCTCAGTTTCCTTATCTAGAAATAGGCATAGTGATCATTGTCATCTCATTAAACAGTTGTTAGGATCAAATGGTAATAGTGGAAAGCACTTATGGAAGTGCCTACCACTTAATACGTCTTCAGTAAATGTCATATTTTTTATTATCCTTCAATAGCTACTTAAAGTGGTAATGCCTTGAAGAAAGCATCCCTGGGACTCCAGGCTGGGTTAAGGGCTCAGGTCCCTTCTTAACACATGATGATGACATTTTTCATATGCAAGTTTATCTTCTCCTATGGACAGTGAGTCCAGGAAGGCATCACTGTGGCTTACTCAAGTCTGTGTCCTCTGCAATTCTTGCAGGACCTAACCTGCCATTCTGTGAATGAGTAATAAACAGAGACTTTGCTTTCATTCACTCATAAATAAACCTTTTGCTTTAAGATTCACCCTGAGTAAAATGTAAATTTCATCAAACTGTAGTAATAATACACTTCCTTTATCCTAACACATACATTGCCAACAGTGCTTCCTTAAAACACACACACACACGCACATACAAACCAGTGCTTAGTATTTCTGAAATCAGGTTGTCAGTCTTAATACTGAGATTTTTTTTCATTTTATCTGCCTTTCTTTCACAAAGTTGGCTATTATTAAGTAAATGATTAAATAAATGCTAGACTCTAGTATTAAAATTGACAAATGTATGGTTTAGACATCAAAGTGAAGGATAACTTGGGAATAGTTCTCAGTTGCTCTTCAAGAAGAAAGCAGGTTCCTGGGGTTCCTCGCCACGTGGTGGATCTCATACTCCCGTCATTCTGCTAACACAATCCCAGGACCTGATTCTGTTGCGTCTCTCAGGGTATCCGTCTCATCCCGATCAAGGATGAGCAGAGCAAACTGGTAGGTCCTAGGAGTGGGAAGGGACAGAAGAACTAGTCTGATACCATGTTGGAAGGTCAAGACAGAGATGCCAAATCAGATGTCAGGATGGAGGAGCCAACAAAATGGGCAATAGGGGACACAGTTGAGGAATGGAGTGACAGTAGCAAAAGAATGAGAAGTAGGAACCCGGCACAGAGATGTACACCCAGCCAAGAGGTTATCCTGCATTAGATGACAGTGAGCTGGCCTGGAATGGATACCCCAAAACCAAGATCCATGGCAGAGGGGACACTAGCAGTACAGGGTCTGGCCCTGGACATCAGGTGGGTGAAGCTGTTGGAGATGGTGGAGAAGACGGCATTGATGATGAACCATGAGCCTTGGGAGGGTTTAGTCAGATATTAAACATTGCCTCATTTAATTTTGCTTGAAAAGAAAAATAATTCAGGTTAGAATATTTTAGAACACAGGCTTGCTAATATCACTAAACCAGAAAAAAATTATCAAATATGTATATATATTTGATATATATATAAAAGAGCAAATCCAGATTTGAATCCAGTCTCCTTGAGTTAATAGCCAGAAGAATTTGGGCAAACAATTTGGACAAGCAGGTTCTCTGCATTTAACTTTTCATCATGAAATACACATAATACTCCTAGGCTGTTGTGAGGAATTATTAAGATAAGAAGATAATGACAGCAATGGTCTACTGAATACTTAATATTTCCAGGCACGGTACCAAGGGTTTTCCCATACTTTGGTCTTATTTTCTAAAATTAGCCTACAAGGCAAGTACTATAGATTCTTATATTACAGCTGCAAATTGAGTTTCAGTGTGATTAAGTAACTTGTGCCATGTCTCATAGCTAAAGAATATATATACATCATCACACATGGAATTCAGTAGGTGTTTAATACATGTGAGTTTTCTCCTTTCACTCTGCTTGCAATGCTAGCCATAGAAGATTTTAAAATTGTCCGATTTTTGAAGAAAAAACCCTTGGAAGAGCACCCCCTCTCTGCTGGACTAGAGTTTAACTATTATCATGTTCTTTGTGAATTTGATAGCCTTTTAATCCACCAAGGCTATGACCTTCTTATAATGTGCTAACTTCCTCTGCCGCCAGTGTTTCTCGCGAGGGACCTCCATCTGCATTTGTTTGTGGCTGTCTCTCTCTGTGACATTTCCTCCTTTACCTGATTCTCAAGATAATTTGTTTTTCATTTGAGCTTCAGCAACCTGAGAGATGATGTCAAAATCAATCAATCCTCCAACAAGCTTTGTAAATACAATTCCTTGGTTTTGCAGAAAGGATATCTCTGTTGCCCAGTTCTTCCTGGAGCAGTGCGGCCACCCAAAGGAGAATCAGGAGGTTAGAACACATCCTAGAACATGAAATCTCATGCATGGGGGGATGTCAGCCTCATAGCATCTGAGTCCTAGGGTGGGAAGATGGGAGCTGAGGAGGTGTCATGCCCTGGGACTTCTGGAAACTGCAGGTGGAACATAAGAGCCCTTGGTCCAATGTGGATAATAAGGAGCCCTGTTAGAGAGCCATAGAAACCATCCCTGAGTCATATCTTTCTTTCTCCTTCATTATGACCTTCTCTGTTAGGGGGAGGCAGCAATGCCTTGGAAAGTTTGAGCTGGTTTCTGATGAGAGGTTGAGGATGGGATCTAATGGTTATCTCCTTCCTCAAAACGGAGCCAGAAGATGCAAGCCAGCTGCCATGGCTTGATTGAAGCCTATTATGGATTTGCCTTTTAATGTGTTTGTTAAAAATTTGAATCAGGTACAACATTTAAAATGGGAGACTTCACATGAAACTCCAGATTTCTGGCTTGTCTTGAAAAATCACACCTGATAATCCTGGGCTAGCATTTCTATGGACAAGAGTAGGCTGGATCTAGGGAAGCCTCTTTAGGTCAGCCAGGTGTAGTCCTGTGTGCCCCAGTCCCCACCTGACCCCATGCTCCCTTAGGTTACCTGTCTTGTTCCCTGGGCATTTGAGTTTTGACAGAAGGAACGGGAAGGAAAATAACAATAGAGTTATAAGACTTACAGCCTAACATAGTTAATAACAGGAAAAGTAAAAGGTGCTTCAGATAACTATTTCCCTTACATATCATGCAAAACATCCAGTTTTGCAGAAAGAGAAATTGGAGACCTGAGAAGCGAATTAAGCTGCTCAAAGTCGCATGGTGTTGGTAAATGGTACAACCAGAATTTGAGGTTTGGTCTCTTTGACTCCAAGTCGCGTGACCACAAAATCCCACTTGGCCACAGTGGCCTCTCCCAGAATCTGCTTCCCTTTTATGAATAGGATGCCCTCACAGTTCTGCATACCCGGGGCACCCGATGCCCTGTCAGGTATCAAAGAGTTAATGTTATATCAGTCACTATTCTTGATACTAAGAAAATTCAAGAGGAGTCTTGTTTATCTCCGATGCTGGCTGGCATCCTCTCTGTTCCCTGAGTCTCTAATGAGAATGTGTACAGTGATATTCAAACAGGATAGGAGAAACTTCTTTGTGTATCACTGAGGTTACCATTTGCATTAAGGGAAAAGAGGTTCTATGACTCTCAGTTCGGCAATTCAGCAGCCATCTGTACTTCACATCACTGGCCTGAATTTTCAGCCTCATTAAATTCTTTCAGGTCATCTGGCCCCAATCTTTATGGTTGCCCAAGTGTATATTTATATCCCATGAGTTATTGCCATTTCTAACCTGTGCTTAACTGCTCCCACCTCCCACCACCCTTAATTGATCTTGCAGTACTTCTGGTATTTTTTTTTTTTTTAAGTCTTCCCTTTCCCAATTATTTTCAAGAGCCCACAGGGGTTACTGCATGTGTATCAGACACTGTGTCCTCTGGGTTTCTACATGGCTTCTACCTTGTTTTGTCAAAGCTCCCTGTGAGCTATTTTTTGCTGGGTACCACGGTCTCCCACCACTGCTAAGAGGTGTTTAAGGTCATATGGGGTTGCATGCAGTGGTGGGTAGAATGAATATTTCTTTCTCATGGTCTATGTTTCACATAGCTACCAAACTGCTGGTAGTGCCATGTCTTAGGGAGTCTTAGCTTGGTTGGTTTTTGTCACAACATCTCTCTGCCTCTATATATCCTTGCATTGCTCCACAGGATTCAGAGGAGATGCCATGGGGAACTGGGCTGGGAAATATAATACTGAGCTAGGGTTTGCTTCTTCCCTTTGATGACTAAGGCTTTTCTTTTGCACCAAGACTATCTGCCTAGTACCCTCTTCCCTTAGGCTGAGTTTTCTCCCAGGGAGCTCTTTACACCCTGTGCAACCCTTGCTATCTTGCCTGCATTGGGCATGACTGGTCTAAGTGATGGATATGGCTTGGTGGCTCGGAGTCAAATTGGAACCCTTGAAATCTGTTTTTTTGGCTTTTTTTTTTTTTTTTAAGGTAAGGTCTCACTCTCTCACCCACACCAGAGTGAAGCGGCACACTCTTGGCTCACTGCAGCCTCAATCTCCGGGGCTCAAGTGGTCCTCCCACCTTAGCCTCCTCAGTAGCTGGCACTACAGACGCATGCCACCATGTGCAGCTCATTTTGTGTATATTATGTAGAGGTGGGCTTTTGCCATATTACCCAGGCTGGTCTTGAACTCCTGGGCTCAAGCGATCCATCTGCCTTGGCCTCAGAAAGTGCTGAGATTACAGACAGGAGCCACACAGCTGGCCAGAACCCCTGAAATCTTAGGTGGCAGTGTTTTATATAATCTTGTGTCCTTAAAGCCCAAATCATCTGAAATAGTTTTATCATACAGCCTCAACCCAGACACAGATTGGCTTAAGTGTTCCTCTGGGTGCTTGGGTATGCAGCTTCCTTGTCTTCTTTCCTAAAGAAGCAAGCCTGTGACTCAAAGGAGATTTTGAAATTTGGATTCTTGCATGATGTGAGCTGAGTGGCACGGTTATAAGGCTACAGACACTACTGCAATAGGTGGGACTCCTTGAGCCAGCTTAAGCCACAGGGAGGAAATGGAAGTAGAACCCAAGAAAAGGATTATGGCTAGGTCTTGGGAAGAAGGGATTGAGGCAGTGAACTTTCTCTGGTTCCTGCCTTCCTCTGTCGGCTGGTTTCATCCTCTCTCTCTCCATGCAGACTGTCTACCTTTGCCTATCAGTTCACAAGACGGCATATGACCATCCCATTCTTTTCAGGTTTACATATAATAGTTCCAGAAATATGCAAGACTTTTCTAATCCCAATTTTAAATTCCCGAGAGGAAGAGCCTGATTGTTTCTGTTTAGGTCAGTGTTCACCTCTGATTCAATCAACTGTGTTGCATCCACCAAGTCTGTGTCTAAGGATCAAAGATAAACTAGAGAGGTTATAGTGAGCTGGACAGCCAAATACACATCCATTCTACTTGACCATATTTTTTTCCCATTTTCTCACATTTACTTGTACCTTTCTGGAAAGGCACTGAGGAGTAGAGGGGCGATACTCAAGAGAAGCAATGAAGCCTAATAATAGTGTTTTCTCCTCCCTCCCCTCCCCTCCCCTCCCCTTCCCTTCCCTTCTTTCTTGTGTGTGTGTGAGGGTCTCACTCTGTTACCCAGGCTGGAGTGCAGTAGTGTGATCTCAGCTCACTGCAATCTCGCCTCCTGGGTTCAAGTGATTCTCATGCCTCAGCATCCTGAGCATCTGGGATTACAGGTGCATACCACCACGCCAGCTAATTTCTGCATTTTTAATAGAGATGGGGTTTTGCCATGTTGGCCAGGCTGGTCTCGAACTCTTGGCCTCAAGTGATCCCCCCCCCACATCAGCTTCCCACAGTGCTGGGATTACAAGCATGAGCCACCACACTCAACCCTAACAGAGAATCGTAGTAGCTAATATTTACTAAGCATTTCCTATGTAACAGATACTATATTGAGTGCATCACAGGAATTATCTCACCTATTACATACAAGAAGATCTTACCATTGGGTATTTTTATTAGCCTCATTTCACATGAGGACACCAGGGTTAGGGGGCTGG